GAAGAATTTCCGCTTGGTTTGCTGACAAGCAGTGCGTGCTGGATCCCATTTTCTGCTTAATTACAAAATGCTTCGGTACACGATATTTTAATTGTTTTCATTTAATCGTATGATAAATAGAAAAGAAGAGTTATTAATTATGAAAGTGTATAATATATTGCTAGTCATATTAAAAGTGATCTTCTTACAATTTCACAATTTTCTTCTCTTAACTATTTTTATAATGAATATTTAAATAGTAAGAATTCAATTTAATATTTTTGGTAATTCTTTGATATTTAAATAACGAGAGTTCAATTCAATATTTCTGTAATTTTTCAACATTTAAACAATGAGAGTTCAATTCAATATTTTTGGCCAATTCTTTAAATATTTGAATAATAAGAATTCCATTCGGTATTTTTCCAATCCTTTCTTTGTCACTCTCTGTAATACAAGAAGGAGAGAAAAAAGGATCTCGTTCGATCAGGATTTCGCCAGGATGCATCTAGGTCGTTCTCCAATTCCATGGAAAATTTCAAACGTCCACCAGTATCCGCAGCAACGCGAAAACGTAAAAGCAACGCTGACTATAAGCGGCACGCGTTGATAGTGCACTTTTGTCAGCACGCGTTGAAAACGAGGCTACGAGAAACGACATCATCATCCTAGTGGTCATCTTCATCATCATCATCACATGGTCATAATCACGATCCTCATCGTCTTCGCCACCACCACCGTTTCATGTCCCAGACCGGTCGATATGCTCCTCGCTGCACACTTCTGGGTTACCAGACATTCCGTTTCGTGATAGTGTCTGGAGCACTTCTCCCTTGTCCGTTCTACTGGCGCACGTTGCTTGGCCTTGTGCTGCAGGAACGATCTTCGACGCTCGCCATGGACGATGACTCCAGTGTGCCTGTGTCGACAATTCGTTTCTTTTGACAAAAACCTTGAGGTAAATTTTTCTGATTATTGAGAATTATTCGGTACCTGTAATGTGCTGTTCTTTTTTCTTTTTTATTTCGACGCTTTACTTTGTCTTGTTTGGTAAGAAGCGTCGAGACAGGTGGTGGTCCATTGTAATTGTTCCATTCAACGTAGCACGATGCTTTTGTTTTCACAATTTGCGATTGTAATTTTATATTGGAAGCTGCGCGGTTTATTTAAGATTCAGTAATATTTAACTCTCTAAGTGCGGGGGTGTTTTCAAACATGTCGTAGAATTTTTTCGAGGGTTGAACTAGTTCAGATTGGAACGCATGAAAAAATGTGAAAATCGTGGATTTCTGGTATGAGACTTTGGAGTCTTACTCGGACTTAGAGGGTCGAACAAGGATAACAGTAACGTTACTCGTAAATCATTGGTTTCGTGACAGAATTGCCAGGGATGAGTTATTAACACTATGCTCTAATTGATTACATGGTATATATAAGGAAGTAAAACTTCCAGGATTTCAGATATCTGGTAGAAAATTAATTTCTCGAATCTTTTCGCCAACTGATGGACGAGTTTCTGTTACTTTTTGTTACCATTCCACGATGTAATAACTGCCTGTGCTTCGCGGTAAACCGCATGGTCTCAAATTCACGAAGAGTCGACCTAATTTTTTATCCAGTTTGGGTCAGATATTTCACAGTTCAGTTCGTGAAGTATCGATGAT